TCGGCGAATCAGGGAAGAACACGCGTCGGTCTCGGAAGCAAGCAGCGAAGCAGCTCAGTGGCGAAGGCGATGCGAAGCGCGCGTTGGATCCGGATTGGCTCGCACCTCGGTCCACTCAGCTCGCGACACGTGAAGCTTCTCGGATCGGCCACGTCTCCGGTGAGACTGCTGCTTCGTGCGAGTGATGTGTCCGGGCACTATTCATGCGGAATTTTTCGATTTTCGTACCCCGAACTTCTAAAATCCATAACTTTCGCATACGAGCTCCGTTTTTGACGTTCTTTATATGCACACGTAGCTAAAATTACGCTCTACAACTTTCATTTAGACTTCGTCGACTATATTTGAATTTAATTTTAATATTATTATTTTTAACAGACCGGGATAGGAAAATCCGTTAAAAATTCATAACTTCTTCATCCGAAATCCGTTTTCGTCAGACTTTTTACCGTTGTACTACATATGACGAGACCTTCGATTCTCGTTTAGGATGTATCGGTAAAATATTGCTCGATCTAAAATTCGAGTTTTTAGCTGTCTACTGCTAAGTTGAAACTTCGAAAAATCATAACTTCGTCATACGAAGTCAGATTTTGGCGTTCTTTTTATTGAATTTCTCGGTTTAACGAATACTAAGACTTTCATTTAGATTACTAAGGCTAAAAAGTAGTTTATCAAAACCTCACTTTTTACGTCATTCGGCGCCGTGCCGGATTTGTCGCGGATCTTCGGTTGGTCATAACTTCTGCGTTATAACTCGGATTTTGACGAGGTTTTCACCTACATATTTCTAACGAGATTCTCTACATCATCAATTAATAAAATTTTACTTATTTAAAATTTCATATTTTCGCTAAATTTCACTATTTGGCTTTTAATTGGAATCTCATAAGACTTCCAATATTTTCTGAGTGATTCTAAACATAGTTTTACTTCATTTCTAGTAAAAACCATCTGTTAGAACTGAACACTCAATTTTACATAATATTTCACAATTTTATTCATTACAAAACACGATTTTAAAAAGTGTATGTTACAAGATACCCCCAAAATACCAACCACATATACCATACACATATAACATGTCATATTATAACCGATCACAGAACAACCATGCATATGGGGTCTACTGTGTGACTGGTCCGCCGTATCGCGCCTTCAGTCCACCGGGTACACCTTCCGAGTCTAGTCATGTCCCTCAAGTCTGCAGTGTGGTTGGTCCGCCCGCACCGGGCCTTCAACCCACCTGGTCCACTCTCTAAGTCTACAGTATGACCGATCCTCCCGCATCGGGCCTTCATTCGGCCTGGTCCACTCTCCGAGCCTCGGCACGTCTGGTCTGCCCTTGTGGGGCCTATAGCCTATCCGGACCGCTCACTGGGCCTTCGGAATAACCGGTCCGCCTTGGGTATGTTGGCCTACAGCACAAAGCAAGTCCCGCCTCAACCCAAGTCCAGTCCAAACAACCATGTGCACATAAAGATACGATCATATAACAGTTCACAGTCAACAAGCCGATCAAACAGATCACATAACATATCATCTTCCTAACCAGGATACCGACTTAACCGGTCACTAGCATATACCATCCTAGCTACCAGGATGCAAACATATCAATGAAATAACATAACAACAAATACCCGGATCTCAATCCGATAAAGGGCTGGCCTTGGTGCCTTAGACCCTGTTGATATAGTGAGGATAACTCACCTCGCGATTGCCGATACTCTGAACTGAAGAAGTAGATTCTCGAATCACCAACTCACTGCAAATCCCGAACTAGCCAACATAGCACAAATATACATTAGGCCAAGCATACATCCACTTATCGGGCCAAGGCCAAAGTCCAAATCTTATACAAAGCCCAATATTGGCCCAATTTACTAAATTGGGCCCTCCTCACCAAATGGACCTAGATCCAAGGTCCATAACAATAATCGGGCCCAAAATACTCTATCCATAAATTTCCAGTCATGGCCCATAAACCAACAACCCACCAACAGCCCAAACTCTAAGGCCCAACATGGAAGTCCAATCAGGAGGAGTACGCTGGGCGTACCCTCCTTGATACGCGGGGCGTACACGCTGAATCATAGTTGAGGATCGGGGCACTGACCCGCTACGCGGGGCATACTCATGGGTTACACGGGGAGTAACCTTGCCACTCATTAAGTCTTCATAACTTCTTAATGGCTTAAGCTCTTAAGCCCAAACTTCAGATCCCTAGGCCAAATATGCCCAAGATTCATAAAGTCTCAAACTTTATCACTTGGGACATCCATAAAGCTCTTAATCAAAGGTCTTAATCCATTAAGACCTACATATCTCATACATGGAACAACCACAACCCTTGGGACCTCATTTTTCTTACTCAAGACCTCTCTAAAGGTCTGAAAGGACAGATAATCTCGGCCAACACAAAGCATGAATCAAGATGAGGACTTTTGGGACAAGAATGATGCCAAAACTTGACAAAACTTAGATCTATGCAAAATAATTGACAAGCAAGAGGCTTTATACCTCAAATAAGCTCCAAAGGATGATATCTCTCCAGATCTACAAGCTCCAATCGTTCATCTCCTTCTTTGAAAACTTCTCCTTTCTTCTTCTAGCTTTTTCTTTTGCCAAAATGAGCTTTGCAAGGCCAAACACACCCAACAATGGAGGGAATACAGATTTCTAGGGGGTAAAAGAGTGTCTATGGAGGCTAGGGTATGAACTAACATGTCCCTTATATAGTGGCTGACCCTAATTTTAGGGTTTGGGGTTTCTGAGAGTACGCTGGGCGTACTCACCTTGCCACCCCCCCCCCCCCCCCCGCATTTCTCCCCTCACTATGCTGGGCGTACCCATCCAACTTCAAGCATGCATGCCATGCATGCATGGGACTTTTTCCACTTTTTCCATAAAGAGCTATAAACCATATCATCTTCAAAACGCCGCAACTCCTCTACTCTAAACCCGCTCCCACTAAACTTAACATTCACACGAGGGTGGCGAGAAGCCCTATGCTTCTATCAACTCACACACCTAACCAAACCTTCTCGGATAAAACCCATTTCCTGCAAAAGTACCAAAATTACCCTTCCTCTTAAATCTCAGGGACTCATAATTAAACACTTTAAGAACGAGGTGTTACAATTATTATTATTATTATTATTATTATTATTATTATTATTATATAATATAAAATTATATAAAGTTAGGTTCAAATGAGACCTTCATATTTTATGAGACATGAGAATTCGATACTAATTGCTCATCTTAGGTTTCAACATAAAAATTTTAAAACAGAAAACAAAAAAGGACGAAGAAACAATAAAAAAAGATATTTTCTATTATTTTCGTCAATTTTATTTAAAAAAAAATAAAATAAATATAAATAATTATAAAAATCCATGTCACCATGAAATTTCATTCAATATTCTAACAGAATATTCTATTAGAATATTACTCATATATTGATGTCAATGTAGTTCGTATGAATCGAGTGTATAGAATGAAATCAGAGTATGAATTGAATCAAGAATGCAAAACATAAATATAATGTGGTTGACTATTTATTGCTTCTGTATGACTACACGAGATGAAAGAGTAAAGTGTTCAAAGGTTCACAAAAGTTACTCTAAGTGCTATTCCTACCCCTATTTATAGGAGTTAACAGAAGCACACAAAAAATACATAAGGGCTAAGACATTTAAGCTTCGAACTCTAAAACGCCCTTATGAAATACATACATTCGAATACATGATTACAGACTTCGAAACTAGACATGACAAAAGGTACTTCGACACCTCACAACTATTTTGAACTCAACAATCTCCCACTTTGTGAGAAGTGTCGAACCTATGTCATTAAGATCTTCATTGCTTGATGAAGTATTCTGCGAATCTCCATGTACCAAATAATCATCTTTCAAATATCAGCCTTATCCCTAGCTGTATTCCTTTTTCAATTGTTAAGATGAACAAGAAGACTCGTGTACTGTGTATTTTTATATCTCTCCACATCAACTTTGAACAAAAACTTTGTAATCTTTTGATTCTTGTTCTTCCCAACAAATACAACTCCAAGAGGCTTAACACAAATATTCCCATCTTCAAAATTCTCAAGACTTCCCTGACCTTTCAGTGACGATTTGGGCACTGTCACTTGTCGATTCATTGCCAAAGCAAGCTCCACATCAATCAAAGCTAAACAATCATACTAATTGTCTATGAACAGCTTGATATGAGCAAAACCTATAAGGAAATCTTATTTGATATTCACTTGAAGTTTCGACACATCAACACTACTCAAGATCTTCACAACACAGATGATATCATCAAGATTACTAGAGGGAAATCTACTACTGAGAAGTCACATGCGACATTGTTAGCTCGAACCACATGATAATGAAAGTTCTGTAACAAGCCTTCGAACAATTTATTCTTGGAAACAATCAGAACTTTAACAATTTTCACTAAGGACTAGACTTCTTCTTCCTTCTTTCCAAGGACCGCATGAATTCTCATCTTTAATCTCTTGTATTCTTCCTTGTCATCAAAATTATCCAGTAACTGATATTGAGTCGAGATAAACATCATATGATTGATGGGAAAATCCAGTTGATTAAAATCAATATTTTCTATATCATAACTCTTTCTTGGAACTTTCTCAAGATCATAGATATTCCCAAGAGAAACAGTCTTTTCAATTGTCTCATAACAATAATGATTGATTTGATCTCCTTTATCAAAACATGGAAGATTACCTTGTATTTCCAAGATGCTGTTAACTTGTCTTTGTCTTTCAATTTCTTTCTCAACATTCTTCTTTTTCTTCTCTTATGGCATTTCCTTCTCAATCCCTTTTCCTTTATGACCTTTAACTGGTTTCGAAGGAGTTAGCTTTGGACTCAAATTCCCAACAGTAGAACCAATAACTATACCTTTGGTTAATGGCTTTGAAGTCATTGTGGTTGAGGTTGTTGACATAGAAGTAGGAAGTGATGTTGGAATTTACGTGCTTATCACCTTCCCAACAACCTTTCCTTGATCAGGATCCTTCGATGAGCCAACCCCCTTATCTCCCCTTGCACCACTTTTCGAACAGGTGGGGGAATCTGTTGACATCAAATTAACAAGTTTTAGGAGAGGAGCAATGTCAGTTTGAAGATTGGATTTAAACAGACAGAACATCTGGGAAAAAGACTCCTAAGAAATAGAAGATTTAGGAGAAGTACCATTCTTAGAAATTGACTCCTTTAAGCTCTCCAAAAATCTTCCAACTTAGAAAACACCTTCGAATCAGACTATTTCTTAGACTCAGACTTAGTAAAAAGTGAATTGAAATACTCCACAACCTTCATAACAGCTTCAAAAATTACACCAACATTGGTATGAAGAGTTGAATAATTTTGATCAAGTTTGGCAACCTCCTTCGACATTTTTGTTTTGAGCTCTGCCAGTTTGGATTGAAAGAATCTTGTACTTTCTTCAGTTCTCCAATAAACAAAATATGATGTTCTTCGGCAACATCATGAAGCCGCTTGACCTCATACTCAAAATTAGTAGCATGAAGCTTCAATCGATCTTCTTATTGTCTTTTAATATTCGTCACAGCTAACTTCAACCGATGGTCCTATGATTTAAGCATCATATCAACCTCGATCCCAGAAACAATATTTCGACCCCCAGTATCAGTCTGAATTTGTAACAATGAACTCAGTTTGTGATTTGAAATCTTGAACTTCTTTCTTGACATAAACATATGATCAGGAATGTTATCATCCTCTAGGTCGTACTGAATTTCAGAAAAGGAAACCATCACATCATTATCTTGATCTTCTTCAGGAATTGACTTTTCTCCTTCGGTGGATTGAGAAGAGAAAAGAAGAGTAATGGGTTGATTCATGATGATGGAATAACTAGGTGATATATTTGAAGTAGGTAACGAAGTGGGATTGGGTGAATGAAATGGTCGTAAGGTAGTAGAAGTGTCGATGAGTGTAGTTTCGTTTGTTGATGATAAAATAAGGGAAATAAGAACTGATGAAGTTGCAATAGAAGTGTTACCTGAAGCTTCGAAATTCTACATCGCATCACCTTTTTTGACATTTGTGTCCATATTATATATGTTCATAGGGATGTCTGAAGTTTGAACCTCCTCCGAAACGGATTCAGCCATTGAAACTTTGGGTGGTATGACTATTGTCTTCTCAGGGATGGAAGTAGTTGAAATATCACCCAAATTAGTGGTTGTGTTCGTATTAGATACTATCATAGAACCACCCAGATTTCCAGTCGTCTCAAAAATCGACTTGATTGTAGAGTCCCTTTGAGGTGATTCGAAGCCAATTTATGCAATTCAAATAGGAGATTGATCACTTCCGTCTTCGAAATCAGTTTCCTGAACAACTTCTTCAAGAGCATCTTCTAGTTGCTTCTTCTTCTTAATATTTTTAACCATGTCATGAGCTCTACGTTTCTTTAAAGCAGGAGAAACAGGAGCTGGAATCTCTCTTGTGATAAACCCCCTTCAATTTTGCTGAGCTTTTCTAATTTTCTTGTCTTTCGAAACAGAATCCTCCCTTGGCGAAGAAATAGTCTCAACTGGAACTTCTTCAACAATTTATCTCTCAGGTGAATGATGAGGTCGATGTGTAGGCTTCTTAGTTCGTTTAAGAACACCTGTTTTTGAAGTAACCACATCCTTTTGAACATCTTTAGGAACAAGATATTGAACGGGTTTCGAAACCTCCTATTCAACTGTCACATGAACATACTTAGTTTGTGCAACATTCGTGGATTTCTTGGAACCTTTACCACGTTTTGAAGTACCTTTGATTGCTTTGGGCAACAAAAAACCCTATTTGTGCATCAGGGTTGATTGTGGACAAATAAGAAACAAGAACCGGATTAATTGGATCCGCCTTCCGAAGCATTGTATCAGGAATTCATGCCACGGATGGAAACAAAGCAGAATCGTCTTCAACAGTTTTAGGATACTGATAGATGGAGAACTCTGCTTTCACGTCTTCTGCTGGTAGCATGATACCTTCTTTCTCATAGACATCTCTGAGAATTAAAATCTAATATCTAGCACAAGAAACACCATTCTCAACATTTGGGTGAGAGATACTTGCTCCAAACTACTCCCATAATTGAGTAGCATAATCAACATTCATATCATAATATAGCCCAACAATCATGGCATATATTTCTAATTTTTCTTTATCAAGACCAACACTACGAGCTGTTAAATAGCATAGAAATATCCTAAACAAAATTTCCATACACAAGGTCACAAAGACTTCTTGAACTAACTGATTCCGGTGAGTGGGGTTTGATGACCCATCACATTGCACATATGAACCAACTGTTCATTTGTAACCTCGCAAAATGGACCAGCATCAGGAATCTTTAAGATTTGAGAAAACTGCTTTTTTTTTTTAGTTTATACTTCTTGTCATTGGTAAATTGAAACATTACCAATTTAGATGTCTTATTGAACACAGTGGTAGAACCAACCAAGGACAACCAAATCATGGGCACAAAAAAAAAAGCAGACATAATAGTTAAGAGAATGGAATGATTGAGGGTAGCAATGAACATCTTTAATTCTTTTGGGTATTTTGAAACATTAGGATGAACCCAAATTTTTGAACTTGAAATCTTCAAAATCGGTTGCGATGTTACATTTTTAGTTGTGTTGGATTGATCAACATGACTAAGTTGTGCTGCCATTGTTAAGGTTTTGGAGAATTGTGTGAAGAAAGAAGTATAAGGAAAGAAGATTTAGGGAAAAATTAAAACAGATAGCATAAAGTTTTAATTTTAGACCACTAAATTCCTTTTATACTCAATACACAATTTGAATTTGAAGGGAACGCAATTAAAAAAATGCCACGTGTAACCTTGACGAGTGGGCCAGTTACCGTATAAGTCACCAAGATTGAAAAGTAATGAGCACTTTTTCTTGGAAAATCATAAAGTAACAAAACCATCACATCCATCAACCTGTTTATTTTCCCTAAGAGGATAAGAATTGTCACTTGACTATCGTTTCAAGGCAGGGCTCATTCGTTTTTGGGATGAGAAACAAAATCATAGCCAAACTTGCGAAATCTAGGTTTGAGTTGGTAGTATCCAAGACCTCAAGAATTGCAGTGAAAAAGTGTGCCAAAGATATAGTGGGAACCAAGTTAAAAAAATGTGCATATAGTGACATCAAATAAACGTTTCATGTAAAAGAAGATGGATCTCAGGCAACAATCTCTTTATTTAGTATCAAGAAAGATATCGAATTGCTTGTGTGGTATCTCGTGAAATGAAATCGAATACTCATAAAGGAGTACCGGAGGGTTTCTTTTATCTAGGCTTTGAAGGTAGGCTCAATTTTGTTCATAATCACAACTTAACATAACTGTAAATTCAATGATCAAAATTACCTGTATGACCAGTGTAGTCAGGGACAAGAAAAGGTGAGATAAAAACTATAAAGTGACAAAAAATACAAAATGATATTCGGATAGAAATCATATTCCAAAATAAAATAAGCACTGGATCCTGTTGGGCAAAAATGTCTTGGGCAAAGAACATTTTATCAAGATCATGCAAAATGAGAAGAATACGATTATGAATATCAAAGAAAGGTACTGAAAAAAATGTTTTGTGAAAATCTTAAGCTTAAAGTTCACCATCAATTCCTTTATAAGTTAGGAAAGTTAGGTTACTCATGAATCAAGATCATTAACTTATACTTTGAAAGACCCCAACTTTCGTATTTTTGAAAGCCCCAAACTTTCATATTTCACATTATCATTACTCCACAACATGCTATTTGCATATTCATAAAAGCAATATTTTACATTGATATAAAGGATTTACAAACTATTGGATACAAACCTTCTATTACAAAGTGTTATATATATATTACATAATTACCCAGGATATTGTAATTTATACAAACATAAAAAGTAGTACAAAACTACTATTACAAACTATTCTACATCTTTCAATAGTATGTAAACATACTAGTTATTTATCACCTGCAATTGTTAAACATTGATAGGGTAAGCGGTGACGCTTAGTGAGTTCAAAAATAGATACAATATAATGTTATGCCATATATATATATATATATATATATATATATATATATATATACACACACACACACACACACTTCAATGTGGCAAAGCAAAGAGGAACAACAAGATATATGTGAGATCATGTGACAAGCGTTCATATCAATCACAGACATTATTCAAAGATATTCTTTTCAATTCTTGATATACATCAATAAGTCTTGGCCCAAATGGCATAGAAGACATGCAATTTCTGATTAACATCTTGTTAGATTCCAGGCTTATAGTCCTGTCTAACCATTTGCCAATGCCATAGAATAGAAGTCATTCTCTTACGGAGACATGCTCTACATGGCCAGAGGCTACGTACCAGTACCAATATGAATCTAAGTCCTTTCACTGATCACATGGTCAAATGTATTACAAGTGCTATAAACATAGCGAATAACACGAGAAAATAACTCAGAATGATAATACTGAAAAGCACATAGCACATATAACACATAACAGACAATTGTTCCTATATATTGGACTCACCTTATGTTAACCGAGGGTTAAAATAGCAATTTGGACAGCACTTCGGCTTTAAATATGCCTTTCAATGTTGAAAACCGGGAGCTTGATTGAAAACCGGGCTCTGCGAAGGTAGGGCTTCAAAACCAAAAAGATAAAATTTCCGGGCTTCTCGGGGGTCTCGGGACGTGTTTTGAGTGCTAAAATTGATTTCAGGGCTTCGGGGAAAGTCAAAATGAAGAAAATATTGAAAGAGGGGCTAAAAAGTGGAAAATTTTCAAAGGTAGTCGGAAGATCTCGCAGCCCCCTTTATATAGGGCCGAGGTTCGGAGTCGGCTAAGTAGCGAAGCTCGGTGGCAGCAGCGGAGCGAAGCAGGTGGCGCGAGAGGGGAGGCTCGGATGCGAGGTTTGGCTATGAGGCTGGTAGGCGAGGCGTGTCTTGCTCCTTCTAGACCTCGGCTTCGGCGAATCAGGGAAGAACGCATGCCGGAAGCAAGCAGCGAAGCAGCTCGGTGGCGAAGGCAATGAGAAGCGCACGTCGGATCCGGATTGGCTCGCACCTTGGTCCACTAAGCTCGTGACACATGAAGCTTATCGGATCAGCCACGTCTCCGGTGACACTGCTGCTTCGTGCGAGTGACGTGTCCGGTCACTATTCATGTGAAATTTTTCGATTTTCGTGCCCCGAACTTCTAAAATCCATAACTTTCGCATACGAGCTCTGTTTTGACGTTCGTTATATGCACGCATAGCTAAAATTATGCTCTACAACTTTCGTTTAGACTTTGTCGGCTAATTTTGAATTTAATTTTAATATTATTATTTTTAACAGACCGGGACAGGAAAATCCGTTAAAAATTCATAACTTCTTCGTCCGACATCCGTTTTCGTCAGACTTTTTACCGTTGTACTACATATGACGAGACCTTCGATTCTCGTTTAGGATGTATCAGTAAAATATCGCTCGATCTAAAATTCAAGTTTTTAGTTGTCTACTGCTAAGTTGAAACTTCGAAAAATCATAACTTCCTCATACGAAGTCAGATTTTGGCGTCCTTTTTATCGAATTTCTCAGTTTAACGAATACTACGACTTTAATTTAGATTACTAAGGCTAAAAAGTAGTTTATCAAAAACTCACTTTCTACGTCATTCGGCGCCGTGCCGGTTTTGTCGCGGATCTTCGGTTGGTCATAACATCTTCGTTACAACTCGGATTTTGACGAGGTTTTCGCCTACAATTTTCTAACGAGATTCTCTACAACATCAAATAATAAAATTTTACTTATTTAAAATTTCATATTTTCGCTAAA